TTTGCCTTGCACATAGTTTTCTTTGCTTGCAGTCCTTTTATTGTTAAAGATATATATGACTAGTCTTAGAGCTTGAGAAATTATTTTATTGTTGAGCAGGAAAGCATAGAAAATTTAGAAAGTGAGTAATATAGCTGTCATGCTTGAAACCTAGAGGTGCAATTTGAAATTGTACATCAGCTGTTACAGAAATGAGCTTACTCATAAAATTTTGCTGCATGCTACAGAAAATATGGCAGAGGTTTGATTTAATTCTCCTTGTCACAATTACTGATTCTAATATAAGTATACAAAATATTGTTGCCCATGAAAAATATGAGAATTATTAACCATTTTGATTCTGAAATATATTCAGTTATAAAATGGAAAATTGCTGCTTTAATAAATACACAGGAGTCCATACAGTTAATTGTTCTGTACATCTGCAACTGTAATCCCATATCTCCAATTGGCTACTTGACATCTCCACTTGAATGACCTTATTATTTAATGCTAACCCATTATCTGATGCTGAATCCTTAATCAGTAATGCAACTTCCAATTACTGTGTTTCCATGGGGGGAAAAAAACTCTGCTTTGTGACATGTCTTATAGTGTATTGAAAAATGATTATTGTAATTTCAACGAACACTTGTATTTGGTTTTCTCATTATCACTGCAAACTCACCATATCCCAAATTGCCTTCTCTCATTCCAAACTACCTGCAGGGCAAGACAGCCTGATATAGTTGAAAGTACTGGACTTGTGTCCTGATTTGAATGCTGCCACTAACCGTATGGCCCTCCCTGGATATCATTTTTTCCTTACTTATAAAATGAGGTATTGGACTAGAAGATCTATATAACATTACTTCAGGTCTCTTGTCATAAAAAAATGAGGTCTTTAAGGGTTGTGTGTTAACCTGGATGGGTTGTATGACTGAAATGTTGCCAATTTTCTTCTGGTCTCACATATGGTGCCGTGTGCTTAGACATGTTTGACTCTCTGCGACTGCCTGGACTGTGGCCCACCAGGCTCCTCTGTCTGTGGAATTTTCCAGGCAAGAATACTGGAGCGGGTTGCCATATTCTACACCAGGGGATCTTCCTGACCCAGGGATCGAACCTGAATCCCTTGCATTGGCAGGTGGATTCTTTACCGCTGCATCACCTGGGTAGCCCCAGTCGATTATTATCCTTATCTATTCAGTTATCAAATAGTCTTGTAAATTGTATTTCATTTGAAAATTTCCCTATCTGTTCCCATTTTTCTTTCTGTTTTTGCTTATCTTCAGTTCAGTTCAGTCGCTCAGTTGTGTCTGACTCTTTGCGACCCCATGAATCGCAGCATGCCAGCCCTCCCTGTCCATCACCAACTCCCAGAGTTTACTCAAACTCGTCCATCGAGTCGGTGATGCCATCCAGCCATCTCATCCTCTGTTGTCCCCTTCTTCTCCTGCCCCCAATCCCTCCCAGCATCAGGGTCTTCTCCAGTGAGTCAACTCTTCGCATGGGGTGGCCAAAGTATTGGAGTTTCAGCTTCAACATCAGTCCTTGCAATGAACACCCAGGACTGATCCCCTTTAGGATGGACTGATTGGATCTCCTTGCAGTCCAAGGGAGTCTCAAGAGTCTTCTCCAACACCACAGTTCAAAAGCATCGATTCTTCAGTGCTCAGCATTCTTCACAGTCCAGCTCTCACATCCACACATGTGAGATGCTTATCTTAGTCCAGGTCCAAATCACAAGAGCTTCCTAATTCCAGTTTTTCCTCTATTTTGTTCCCATACTGCATTTTATTAAAAATTTTATTGATTGATTGATTGCTGCACTAGGTCTTCATTGCTGGGTGTGGGCTTTCTCTAGTTGCAATGAGCAGGAGCAAGTCTTTGTTGAGGTGCACAGGTTTCTCATTGCATTGCCTTCTCTTCTTGCAGAGCACAGGCTCTACAGTGTGAGGGCTTCAGTAGTTGCGGTTCTCAGGCTCTAGAGCACAGGCTCAGTAGTTGTGGCACATAGCCTTAGTTGCTCCAAGGCATGTGGGATCTTCCCAGACCAGGGACTGAACCCATGTCCCCTGCATTAGCAGGAGGATTATTAACCACTGAACCACCAGGGAAGCCCCCATACTGCTTTTTAACTCATCTTCCTTCAAGACCAATTTCATCATTACTACTTCTATTTTTTTTTCATTTATTTTTATTAGTTGGAGGCTAATTACTTTACAATATTGTAGTGGTTTTTGTCATACATTGACATGAATCAGCCATGGATTTACATGTATTCCCTATCCTGATCCCCCCTCCTACCTCCCTCTCCACCCGATTCCTCTGGGTCTTCCCCGTGCACCAGGCCCGAGCACTTGTCTTATGCATCCAGCCTGGGCTGGTGATCTGTTTCACCCTAGATAATATACATGTTTCAATGCTGTTCTCTCGAAACATCCCACCCTCGCCTTCTCCCACAGAGTCCAAAATTCTGTTCTGTACATCTGTGTCTCTTTTTTCTGTTTTGCATATAGGGTTATCGTTACCATCTTTCTAAATTCCATATATATGCGTTAGTATACTGTATTGGTCTTTATCTTTCTGGCTTACTTCACTCTGTATGATGGGCTCCAGTTTCATCCATCTCATTAGAACTGATTCAAATGAATTCTTTTTAATGGCTGAGTAATATTCCATGGTGTATATGTACCACAGCTTCCTTATCCATTTGTCTGCTGATGGGCATCTAGGTTGCTTCCATGTCCTGGCTATTATAAACAGTGCTGCGATGAACATTGGGGTGCACGTGTCTCTTTCAGATCTGGTTTCCTCAGTGTGTCTGCCCAGAAGTGGGATTGCTGGGTCATATGGTGGGAATGCAAACTAGTACAGCCACTATGGAGAACAGTGTGGAGATTTCTTAAAAACCTGGAATTAGAACTGCCATACTTCTTCTATTTAGAAATGTTATTGGCCTACTTCTTTATATCATATAACAGCTCTGGTTCATTTGTAAAGCTTTTAAATCCCTAGCACTGATTTTCTGTTTTAATTATATAGGTCTTCTTAATCTCATCCTGTGTTAGTTTTTTTCCCCTTCTACCTATGGTTTTATTATTCTCTTTGTGTGACTGCCTCTTCCTTTTCCCCGTGCTGTCATTCTTAGAGACTAACATGTGAAACTTAACCCAGCCACTTAAGCAATATGAAGTATTCTCAGAGTTTATGTTCCTTTCTTTTTATTTTTTTATTTTTTTGGCTTTTATTTATTTATTTTTTCATGTATTTTTATTAGTTGGAGGCTAATTACTTTACAATATTGTAGTGGGTTTTGCCATACATTGACATGAATCAGCCATGGATTTACATGTGTTCCCCATCCCGATCCCCCCTCCTGCCTTTCTTTTTAAAACCATGGCAAGGTACAGAAAAAAGGACACACTTCAATTTATTGAGTATCACCTATGTGCCAGGCATGTTACCTCATTTTAATCTCTCAACAGTCCTTTGAGATGGATGATAGTAACCATAACTTACTGAAGACTCTTAGGCTCAAAGAAGGGAACTAACCTCTATAAGATCACACAGCTAGTAAGCAGTGGGGCTGGGATTTGAACTCTGGGATCTTTTACTTCTCCCCAGAAAAAAATTGGCCAAAGGACCATTAATTGCCTGTTTTTTTACCACTCACCCCCCAACAACCATGTAAATAGAATTAAAGGGACAAATTAAAATGCTTAACATGTAGTCTGGCACTTAGCAGATATTTGCTAAAGATTTAGATGAAATTTTTTCTTATCTTTTGAGAGTATAGATATTTTGAAAGTTCCTTTCTCTACCTAGTTTATCAAAGTAGTTTGAAGTAGGGGAGGCCTTTTATCTGATAAGGAGTATCTCGTTTTGTTTTAGGAACCCCAGGAGGATCTTTAACATAGTAATGTTGTGATTTGAAGTTTTTCAAAGGGGAAATAGCAAAATATTTTATTGACATTAAAAACTGAAAACGATGGCCTTTGTGCATGCATTCAGCAATCATTCTTAATACTGACTATTACACTGACATTTGGGCTAAGGGTGAACAATTCAAGCAGTGTTAGTTAATGAGATTTTGAAGGAAGTTATAGATTGTTGGATGTCACTTATGTACTTGGATTCATCAATGACTATCAAAGTGAAAACATAGTTTTTAAAGGGGAATAGCTAACTTAGATAACTTCATTGTAAACATGATCACCTTGCATAGAGATCCACCTCCTTTCTGTGGCTTCACACATCTCTTCTATACAATTTACTCCCCAGTGCCTGTCCCCTAGTAGTACTCTAAGCTTTAATCTTGCAGCTTCAACTTGTTGCTAGGTATTTCCATTGATGACTTGTCATCTCAAACGTGCATTTGTTATTTGTTATGTTGTATAATTATATGTTTGTACTACTGTGTTATCTTTCCAAGTAGAATATAAAGTTCTTGTGTAAGGACTATGACTTAGACTCCTTTGGATTCCGTGTACCTGTTACAGTGCCATGGGTACATATTAACAACATATTTGAAATTATTTTAATTGTCTTGAGGTTATTAATACAGACATGAGGACAAGGGCCATGATTTATTTGTCTTTGTATTGGCAGTATGTCTAGCACAGTGTCTGGCAAAGAGCCAGATAGTGGCAGATCACTCAGGTTTCTTGAGATGGAGACTAGCGCTCCTTATTCATTATGCAGTGTGGGCCCTAGTCTGCATTCACATGAATTTAAAACCTTAATGATGAGTGATTCTTAAGTTAGCATTTTAATAAGCTTTGATTGTGATTTTAAACTTTTGGAAAATACCGCTCATTGAATAACTGACTACATATACAGAGAGTATGTTGTTGTTGCTGCTTTGTATAAAATAGGAGTGGATCAGAGTTAATGTCTTCTGATTCAGTATTTGTCAGTAGTCTTTTATTAAAGTAATTTTTGGTCAATATGAAACATGGCATTTAAACTCTTGCTTTTAATTTTTCTTTCCCTACCTTCTCCTTATTTTTATAAAGTTACCTGGCAGTGACATTGCCAGTGGGAGTGACGTACTTTCTGATGTCATACCCAGTATTCCAAGTTCACCTTGCCTGCTTCCTAAAAAGAAAAACAAGCACCAGAATTTAGATGAACTTCCTTGGAGTGCAATGACAAATGATGAGCAGGTAGAGATCTTGACATTCTTAATTAAAAGCATATATGTGGAGAATATGTGAAGCTTGATGTATTGTCTAATTTAAAGCTACTGGATAAATGTGGATTGCTTAGTAAATATGAATTTGAGTTCTAATTGTTTTGCATGGAAAAATATAAGCGTTTCTGATACTTAAACATATTATAAGTTGCACACTAAAAGATCAGAGGTTTTGGCATTGATCTTATTTATTATAATTTTTCATCACATAGGTGGAATATATTGAGTATCTGAGTCGTAAAGTCAGTACTGAGATGGGTCTTCGGGAACAACTTGATATTATTAAAATAATTGATCCTTCTGCTCAAATCTCCCCTACTGACAGTGAGTTTATTATTGAACTTAACTGTCTCACAGATGAAAAACTGAAGCAGGTATGTAAAGAAAATACAGATTCTACAGCTATTAAAAATACCATTGTTTTATAACACATGTACTTGAATCAGTTCAGTTCAGTAGCTCAGCTGTCTCTGATTCTTTGTGACCGCATGGACTGCAGCACACCAGGCCTCCCTGTCCACTGCCAACTCCCGGAGTTTACTCAAACTCATGTCCCTTGTGGTCGGTGATGCCATCCAACCTTCTCATCCTCTGTTGTCCCCTTCTCCTCCTGCCTTCACCCTTTCCCAGCATCAGGGTCTTTTCCAATGTGTCGGTTCTTCTCATCAAGTGGCCAAAGTATTGGAGTTTCAGCTTCAGCATCAGTCCTTCCAATGAATATTCAGGACTGATTTCCTTTAGGATGGACTGGTTGGATCTACTTGCAGTTCAAGGGACTCTCAAGAGTCTTCTCCAACACCACAGTTCAAAAGCATCAATTCTTCGGTGCTCAGCTTTCTTTATAGTCCAACTCTCACATCCATACATGACTACTGGAAAGACCATAGCTTTGATGAGACAGACCTTTGTTGACAAAGTAATGTCTCTGCTTTTTATACTTGAATAGTCATATATGACTTGGATAGTCATATATATAGATAATTAAGGTCAAAATCACTGCTGTGAAATGTAATATTAGAACATGTGGTTTTAAGAGGTTTTATGTACATCTCATGTGGCCATACCTTTCTGGGATTATTTGGATCTAGAACCTACTTTCTAGTTATATAGGTTTTGAAATTTGACTTCACAATTTAAGGAGTTATTATGCTAAGGTATAGATTTATTCTAACTCATCTTACAAAAGACCAGTGGAGAGAATCAAAATATTATTGAGAGGTATACTTGAGTGAACATTTTAATTTTTGTATTTGTCATCATTTATGAGAAATTTCCCTCATTTCAGTGTTTCTCTCAACAGACATACTATATAATTTTCTACATTCCAGCCCATTTTTCACTAGTATGGTAAATTGATGCCTTGCATTTGAAGACAGGTATTATGGGCCCCTACCTAAGATCTAGGAAACACTCTAATATAATCAGCATCATACTTAAGTGGCAACCTTTTAAAATATGCCTACTCTTATCTATTTTATTGTTAGTTTCTGTTTCTAGTGTTATTTTCTTACACTCCTAAATTCTGGAAGCTAGTAGCTTATCATTTACTGAATATACTTTATATACTTAAAAAATCTAGCTTCATAATATTTATTCTAAAGTTTTGAACACCAGAATTTTTCTGGTACTTGTTTCTACATTTAGAGATTTCGTCTTTCTGATCTACCTATATGCATCTATAGCACTTTTGACAATCTTTAAGTACAATATTCTTTTTTTCTCCATTATTTTGAGGGCAGAACATCAAGGTACAGTACTAACCAGTTTTTGTCTGTCTGTTCCAAGGTCAGAAACTATATCAAGGAGCATAGCCCTCGCCTACGGCCCACAAGAGAGGCCTGGAAGAGAAGCAACTTTAGTTGTGCAAGCACCAGTGGAGTGAGCGGTGCCAGTGCCAGTGCCAGCAGCAGCAGTTCCAGCATGGTCAGTTCTGCAAGCAGCAGTGGGTCCAGTGTTGGAAACTCTGCTTCAAACTCCAGTGCCAACATGAGTCGAGCACACAGTGACAGCAACTTGTCTGCAAGTGCAGCAGAGCGGATTCGGGATTCAAAAGTAAAACGTCTAATCAATACAAAACTTTACCTTTCAATATTAACATTAGTGTTCCTTCATATACAGTTCTTGAAGAGTTAAAATTATCCTGCTCTATAGATGCCTGTGGGTTTTGATTTTAATTGAGCAAGCAGAATTCTCTGCTTTTGAACAAAGCCCTCTACACTGAGTGCTTTGAAATGCTGTTTTAACCTACAGCCATATTACCTTCAATTTTATCTGATTTTTGTGTCTGTTTTAAGTAAGATAAATTGATGGAAATAATGAATGAGTCTCAAGATTGCAATACTGACTGCAACTTACTATTAAGCAGATCTCACTAGGTTGCTGATGTTGCTGTCTATTAGCTCCTAAAAATGTCCTGTATGTCTTGTGTGTGTGTGTGTGTGTTAAATGTTTTCTTGAAGTTTTAATCATGAATATTTCTTTGTAGCTCTTTTTAAAATGTAATAGTGCTTTCTCTAATTTCTGAATACTCTTTTCACAGTTGAAAAAACTCTATAATATTTTTGAATGCATAAGAAATAGAAAGTTTAAATGTATATAGAATAGTTCTGTGATGCTTAGCAGGAGAGTTCGTTTCCTTGCAGTGGTGACAGTGTGGAGCCAACTTACAGATGATAAGGGTATCTCTATAACTCTTGGGAACCCAGTGGTGACTTTTCCTGGAAAGTGATTCTTTACTTGGTTCTTAACCAAAGTAGCAGAAACATAGCCAGCTTTGTTGGTTGCCAAGTGTTTCCTCTGTGTATGTGTTCATTCTTTTTTGTCATCAGTTCACCAGTGGCAAGAAATAGAGTACACACTGGGTTTCTAATGGGCTTAAAAGATGGTATTTGCTTAATATGAAAAAGACATGGTTCTTTCTCAGCCATTGTAAAATTGCTAATGCTTTTGGATGAAAGGCACCTTTGAAGCATAAGCATTAGAGATTTTGACAGTGTTCTCTACATTTGTATTCATTATTGTTCACTGCATGTTTCTTCTGCACTGACACCAGTGTACCTTAATTTAATATAAAAAAGCCTTAGAAATGATTTGTTATCCATAACTAGTCAAATGATCAAGCTTCAAACCTTCCTAATCAGAAGATTCCCTGGTCAAATACCATAAATACAGAATCTTGAAGAATTGTTTTCATGCCTAAGCTAATGGCTCACTTACTAGAACCAGGATTGTACTGCAGAGGAATTTGAACATCTCTATTCAGAAAATATTGAATTTGATCCACACAGTACTTCAGGGTGGATATGCCAGAACTGAACCTCACTGATTTAGAAATTTTTATTTTGACAGAAGCGATCCAAACAGCGGAAGTTACAGCAGAAGGCCTTACGCAAGAGGCAGCTGAAAGAGCAGAGGCAGGCTCGGAAGGAGAGGCTCAGTGGGCTCTTCCTTAATGAAGAAGTGCTGTCCTTGAAAGTGACTGAGGAAGATCATGAAGCAGATGTAGATGTTTTGATGTAATAAGGGTGAATTTATCGGCATTGTTTCTAAGCATTATTCTGTCCTTATTTGTTTACATGCATCTTGACCAAACTTTTGGTTAGGGCTGTGCTGACGTACGTTAATAATTTGGTCTGTGGTTCTCAGCAGGTGGTCCTTGGACCAGTAGCTTCAGCATCACCTGAGAAGTTATTAGAAATGCATACTCTTGGGACCCACCCCAGACCTAGTGAATCAGAAACGCTGGGGAAGGGGTAGCATTGTGTTTTAACAGGTACCAGGTTATTCTGCCAAACACTCTAGTTTTAAGAACCACTGATTTAGTAAATGTTTGACTATTTAAACTTCAGAGTGGTTAAGTGGGATTTTTCAGACTAGTACTTTAACAGTTTAGGAGATTTCAAGGTACTGCTGACAGATAATTTATTATGTCAGTATAGAATGTGTAGAGATCATAATTCAGTTTCTTAATGTTGTGATTTCTTAGTTTTTCTAAAGGGCCATAGCATAATTCTCAATTCCTAGTGGACGTCTTTTTTTTGAGGTTGTAGGGATCGGATGTGGATTGCTGTTTACAATAGTGCCTTCATTAGGTTTATTTGTTTTCATTCATTATTAACTCAAATGTCTAAAAAATAGGCCCTAACATCTTTTGTTAGGTTTGTTTTTGTTTTTCACTTTATGTATATTCAGAATCCTTTCTGCAAGTGATGACTACTGAGAAAATAATGTTACTAGTAGCTGAATTTTAAACTTAATTCTACATTGATTAATATTCAAATGGAAAAATCCAGCAAGCAAAACAACCAGTTCTACTTTTCACTGCTTTTTGAAATTTTAGGCTGTGAAACTGTCTTAAAGGCAAGAAACACCTCTGTCAAGTTCTTTTTTAGGTCTTTTTATTTTCAGCACAGCTCTAATTTTTAAATATTTGGTGTAACAGCTTTGTGGCATGTGAACAAGTTAATGTTCAAAATTAACTCAAGAAAACCCTTACAGTTCTGCTAAACTCTGTAAATCGCTAGGAATACACTGAGCAGTGAGATATAAAAAAAAAAAATCTTTGCTTCTTGGCTACTAATAGTACCCTAATTTTAAATGTGAAATCATAGAGTCTCTAAATGTTTTCGTGAAGAGTTTGTTATCATGAACGTTATAAGTAGTGTGATTCCTTTTATTTTCCCACACATCTTTAAACATTCACACGGGTTAAAGAAAATGGAAACTGATACTACTGACAATCAAGCTGCTTTCTGACTTTCATAATTTTCTTTTTATTGTGGAAACTTTGGAGGTGATCATGATTTTGTAGGATGAGTTGTCAATATTTTTTTAAACTCTAGAGTCAGGTTGATAAATTCCTATTTTTTTTTTACACTGTATCATATCAAGTAATCCATTAAAAAGATTAACAATGTAGATCCTTAATTCTCAGCTGCGGATTCTTAATTCTCAGCATAACCTTGGCTTACAATCATGTTTTGAAATTTTTACTTTATTTTGGTTCTTCAAAAGTTAAAGAATTGAAACTAAGGGAAAAAATTTATATATTGCAGTTTTACTGAGGTCTGTGGTATGGTTGTAACATTTTGAAGACTACTAAATTCATACTTTAAAATTTTACTGAAATAACGGTATATATGTGTATATGGTTGTCAGTTGGAGTACTCCCTCTGACTTTCCTCTTACCCCCTCTTTAGTGCTTCTGACTAGCTTAGAGTGCCCTAAGAGAGCTTGGGGATAAACCCCAGGATACTCTTGAGGAAGATTGAAAGGGTCCACCTTGTTGTGTTGTCCCTTCTAAATATAGAAAGAGTAAATAGAAGAGCAAATACAGCTGAATTCTCTACCTGCTCTTAGCAAAAGCAAAATTCCAGGGAATGACTGCCTATTCTCTTCAGTTATTCTTCAAGGAAAACAGGCCCCTTTTGGAGACCTTAGAGCAGCATGTATCTGTTAAATACTTGGAAACAATTTACTTGACAGTGACCAGTAAAAGAAGATCCTAATAAGACCAATTCCTCTACTCTCCCAATAATCGCAGTCTTATTACCATAGATTTAACTTAAGTCACTGTTAAGCAAGTTTACCAAAGTGTCACAAAGCCAATTTTTAAAGTTTATAAAGGTTTGAGTGTTTATAGTAAAGTACACCATGAAGCATTGTACAAATCTGGATGCACTGTCTTTATGGTACCACAAATTAGAAGATAGGTCAGTAAGGTGGCTTGGAAGGGACTGAAAGAAAGAACAGGAAAAAAAATATTAAGCAACTTGTGTTTGCTTATGATTGAAGAGGGAGATTACAAAGTCTTTCTCTACCTACCACCCCCCCCAGTAAAACAACAGACAAAGACAAAAAATTCTCGTCTTTGTTAATGTGTTATACTTTTTTTTTAGGTTTTAATGCCTCATGTAGATAATTCAGGTTTGAATTATTTCTTTCTTAGAATAAATAATAAATTTAGTCTAATCTCTTTCTAAGTTCAATTTAAAACAAATCCAACTCAATTTTTTTCTTTAAAAGTATAAAAAAGTATAAACCTCGACTAACCGATTAATAAAAATGTGAGACTTACTTGCTCCATTGTCAATTCTCAACTGTAGAGAATTGACATTAGAGCAAATAAGTCTTTCCCTTTAAAAATAAGCCTTGTTACATGAGGGCGTGATTAAAAAATAAGACTTCTTAATTAAGGGCATAATGAAGTCACATCACATTTATTCACATTTATTAGGGATCTTGTGTGTATGTCAATTATATCTCAACAAAACTGGGGAAAAAAGACCTTGTAGAAGTCTGTCAGTCCCTACCACAGGTTTTAAAAGTACAAACCTTGAGTTTAAACAAAATGGTGTATTTTTTTCTACAGTTTTGCAACTGAGTTAAAGTGAGGCAATGTGGTATAATGTGTAGTGAAGTACACAGGACTTTATACTGTTCTTCTGTCCCAAGAAGAATTTAGAGTAAAATAACTTTATTTTTTGAGACTTGTCTCATTTTTAGTTAAGTGGTGGCTGTTTTGTCCATTTTGTCAGTCCTTTGGGTTAACTAGATATTGCTGAATTAATTCCAGAAACTGATTTGAAATTTGATGACTCCATGGATTGGATAGACATCTCACTTTATTTAGCTCTTAAAAGTGCTAAAACCCCTCATGAAGCAAAAATTTTAAGAAACTACTATATAAAGGTATCCAGATTGTGATGGGCTTTAAAAATTGTGAAGTTTATCAAATGTCTTCATTTTTAAGCCAAAAATGTTAGTTCATGACAAATAGAAAAGTCTCGTTCCCAGGATTCTCTAGCAGAGTCTTTTGTTTGTGGCTTACTCCTTATAGCTTCCTGTGCCTTAAAGGTGAACTCTATACGTCTCGTCAATATTATGCTTTTCCAAACTCAATAGTAATTTAAATGTTGTAATTCATTTTATAAAATGCCCATGCTCTTGGATATCAGTAAGCAAAGGCATTATATCGAACTAATCAATGATAATAGAGTACATAACAAAAACCTTCAGATCTTAAATTTCACTTACATAACTTGATTTTTGGCCCAGCTAAGTCATAGAACATTGAAGTCATCTAAAGTATAGTTTAATGTATTTGTTTATTTTTTCCCCTGATGAAAGTCATAAAGCAGAATACTTTTTATTTTACTTATTTTATTTTATTTTTTGGCCTCACTGTGCAGCTTGCAGGATCTTAGTTCCCTGACTAGGGATTCAAACTAGGCCCTCGGCAGTGAAAGCATGGAGTTACAACCACTGGGCTTCTAGGGAATTCCTAAGAATATTTTTTAAAGTTGAGTTAACTCTGGAAAGATAATTTTCAAGGCAAAAGTACTTCAAATCAGAGATTATATAGCAAATTGATTTGTTAATTTTAGCAATTCTTTGTATTCATTTATGTAATAGCGTAACATTCCTCTTCCCTTTAACTTCATAACACTTCTGTCTACAAGAAAAATGTTTGCTCCAAACTGGGAAGGGGTTACTTAAAATCAGTTTATAGTTTGAGATGGTTGATAAGAAAATTTCCAATTACAGTCAAATGATAGTATTGATGTTGAGCACACTGACATTCAATATGTCTAAACCTAGAAGTAAGTTTAATCCTTAAAAGGACTATTAGGTAGAAAATAAATATTTGTATACACATGTACTGTGATAACTTTGGATTCATTTTAAGTCTGACAAAGTAAGATAAGTTTTATCTTTACAATTAAATTATGCTAAGTGGCGGGAGGTATCTGAGAGATATTTAGACCTAGGCATCCTTATCAGTGTAGTATCTGGAACATATCTCCTTAGAAATGCTTAATTCTTATTTCTTTGGAAAATTCCAGAAGGCTTAGAAGGAACTTGACAAATTCTAAGTAACTGGCTATTATTAATAAGAGTAAGAAATCTACTATACTTCAATAAAATATTTTAAGACAAAAAAATAGGAAGTTGCATGGTATAGCCAAGTTGACTCACTAAAATTTTATTTACATATTTTTTCTAATATGAAGATTACTTGTTTTCAGTAATTGTATTTTAAATACACACTTCACAATTGTATTTTAAATTAAGGTTATTAATATTTTAACCTAGATAACATAATGGTAAATTAATTTTTTTTAATTTGATATCCATACTGAACTTGGAAAAACTGATTTGGTCTTCTCTGATTTCAGTAGGTATTGTTGGATTTCTTTGTTACATCTTTGTGGTCAGTGGAACCTGTGGAAATCTGTGTTCTTTTTTTGTGGTGAGGGGTGGGGGTAGAAAAGAGGAGAGTAGTCTAATTATACATATGCATTTTGACTATAAAAAGGTAGTTGTAGAATTAATATGTATAAATGACAAGTTAACACTTACCTATTGTGAATTGTTCTAAGGAACAGTGGCCTGAAGCCATGGCTTGTTTTGTGGAGCTGCTTGCTCTTTAATAGTAGCTGACCAATTGGATTTAAGTTGAGACTTTGGGGTTAGGTTACCAAGCTGAGGCTTTTAGGAATGGAGCAGACTGTGTCTGT